CCCCCCCCCCCGTGGAGACCACACCTAAGTTCAAATCTGTGACATGAGGAGACAGCCAGGTGGGAAACCTCAGGCTAGAATATGACCTCTGGGCAGGCAAGGGCAAAAGGGGAGAGAGAGAAGGTCTGGCTTCTCCTAAATTCACCTATTGGATAGACCATTTCTCCCTCCAAAAGTGGAACTTAAAGTGAGAGGTAGGGAAGATAGGTCAGGAATGTCAATCCAGCTCAATGGCTCTTAATCAGGGTCTGAACTGATATCCTGGGAGCATTTAGAAAAGTGAGGGAATGTGTTTTTGTCTGTCCCAATGACTAGGAACCACTATTGGCATTTAAGAGCAAGGATGAGAGATAGTAAATGTCCTACACTATGCTAGACAGTGCCACATAATCAATTTTCCAGTCCAAAGTGCAGCAGTGGCCCCTCCACTTTGAGAAGTACTAACTGAACTCTCTTCACGTGGGAAGACAATGAGTGAGGAATTAATTTGCACCCCCCCCGCCCCCAAGCTTGCTTTACATGGGACACAAAGGGACAGGTGTAAAGAGACCTTACTTCTGATAGCAGTATCAACATTTTGAAAACCCATTATTGCAGTAGGAGTTACCACTCCATCCAATTCTCTCTCAGTGGTTCACAAATCTCATCAGAATCACCTGAGGAGCACTTTTAAAATACAAATTTCCATGTTCCACACCTAGAGAGTCTCATTCTTAAGTTTTGTAGTGGAGCCTGTGGATCTAAGTCCCACAGGTAGTTCTAATCAGACAGGTTTAGAAAGACAGTTTAAAATATCAGCTGGCTCTTCTAGCCCCCTCATTTAAGGGCCTTGGTGACATTTTCTCAGTAGGATGATTTTTTCATTTCCTCACCCTTCCAAACCTGGTATATCCAGGCTGTAATTGGGGCATGACAAGGGAAAGGACTAAGTGTGTGTGCGCGGGGCAGGGGGTGGAGGCATTTCTACAGGACAGAATCTGGGGGAAACAGATTGAGACTTCGTTGCCTCCAGGGTTTGGCTGCTTTGAGTACTGAGACTTAGTTTTTTGTTCCTAGCATACAGGAAATGGATGTTTGTTGTGTCTGTCTCAAATTTACATGGCTGTTGTCCCTGCTTCTGAGTTATCTCCCTGAAAGAGAAGCTTCTCCTGTAAGCCCCTGTGTTAATAGCTCAGATCTAATGGCTGGATTCGGTGTTTTAGGATACCTCTACCCTATTAGTTTAGAGACTATAAGCTAGTTTAAACTGACAGTGGGGAGAGTATCACAACATAATCAAGATGAGTGATCTCTTTTTTTTCTTTTTTTTAACATATATTTATTGATTTCAGAGAGGGGAGGGGGGGAGAGAGAGAAACATCAATGATGAGAGAGTCATTGATCAGCTGCCTCCTGCACGCCCCCAACTGGGGATCGAGCCCACACCCCGGGCATGTGCCCTGACCAGGAATCGAACCACGATCTCCTAAATCCTAGGTCGATGCCCAGCTGCTGAGCCAGGCCTGGCTGGATGAGTGATATCCTAAATGAGCTCAGATGTCTTAAATTTGCTAGGTTGCTTCTTTTGACTGTGTTTTTAAAAGATGAGAAGTATTAGTACAATTGGACTCAAATTTAGGGAAGTAGAGTAGCACCATTAACCCCTGAATCTGAGGATGCTAAATAGGGATTTGCTCAGAGCAGGCTGCCTTAGCTTCTTGCAAGATGGAGACACAGGGACAACTTCTCAAAAGAGGTATCCCCTGAATAGGAATTGATCAAGTGAGGGAAGTAAGGGAGAGTAGCTTTGAGCAGCAGAGCCCAGCAACAGCCAGCCAGCCTGTGTGTGCACTAGCAAACTAGAGGTCCCAGTCATTGCTCTTGGGGTAATCCCAGCCTTCTGAGGAAGAGCAATGCAAAGGTTCATATCCTGTTTCAGAGCCATTGTTAGAAAAAGCTAGCTTCTGGTTTGGGGACATTTATAAATTTGGCTATAAGAGCATGTGGTGAGACTATGAATCTATGTGGTTTCTGTTCTGAGTAATGGTGCAGAGCTGTTAGCCAGTGGTATGGGTGTCCTTTAAATTTCAGCTGTCTTCATATTTAATGAACTTGGCTGACTGATAAAAATGTTCTCGGGTTTAGCTCATAAACATATCAGAATAGACCTGAATCTGATTGCAGTTCACAATACTGGTTTTAAGGGAAAACTTTAAAATGCACTGCTGTCCAATGTTGTTGTTTATAAAGAAATAAAGCAGCTGTGTGAGACCAAAGCATATGTCAGTTCAATAATGAGGCTTTCTTAGAGTGACTCATACTTTAGGTGCACAGAAACAACTGAGAGCAGCCAGCAAGGAGCTCATGACCCAGAAAGTCGCCTTTGCCTCTAGGCTTGAAGAGCAGTCTGTGAGTGGAAGGGGAAGACAGCAAAGAATGCCAGTCTTGAAGGGGGTGTGAGAAGCCCGGGCCCAGGCAAGATTATAATGATTATAAATGGTATACAGTCATCCCAGTACAGAGGACAGGAACATGTTTACTAGATGTCTGTATGCTTCTATAATCCTGGTACTAACCTAATCCTGGTAATCCTTGGGTGTTAGCCTCACAAGGATTGTTGATGAGAACGCAAATCCCAACATTGCAATTCAGGATTTTGCTTGTGCTGAAATTGTTCTGTAGATTTTTTATGAGTTGGTCCCTTGCTCCATTCCCCAGGTTTAATAGCATTTCTTTGTCCCAAAGTGTGTGTGAAATCTTACATGTTGCGGTTTATGAAATGCAGTTAGGTATAGTTTTGTTTTGTTTTTGTACACTTGATTTTGGCCAAAAGGCCGAGAAGCGATTGTTTTGTTTTTATAAAAGTAATACATTGTAGAAAGAATACGGGAAGTATTAAAGATGGTTTTTAAAAATAGATAAAAGAAAAGAAAGAATCATCTACAATTCCACTACCCAGAGCTAACTGTTGTTAGCACTGTTTGAATGTATATCTGCCTGGCATTGTTCTGTACAGGCATGTGCTTTTCAACAAAAATTGATTCATGAGAAATGCACTGTTGTGAAATATGTACTTGTTTTTTCACATATATTGAATATCACTGTTGTTTTGAAGTATATGCACACAGAAAAGTACACATACCATGATTACCTATGTAACAAGCAGCCATGGGAATCAGGATATTAACAGTACCCACATAAGCCCCCCCCCACACACACACACACACACACAATTGCCTTCCAGTAGCCCCCCGCTTCCTCAAGCATAACTACTGTCCTGACTTCTAAGTATAGAGTGCTTTTTGCTTGTTTTTTGTTCTTTATATAAATGGAATTATATAGTGTATGCTTTTTTTGTGCTTAGCTTCCTTGCTCAACATTGTGTTTGTGGGAGTTGAACATATTGCTGCATTTGGCTGTAGAGTGTTCCTTTTCATTGCAGTATAATATTCCATTGTATTAATAGACCACAATTGATCCATTCTGATGATGCCACATTTGGGTAATTTCTGTCTTTGGATGTTAAAATAATGCTGGCAATGTCTTTCCCTCTGCAAGAGAAGCCAAAGTGTTTTACACTTTTTGAGGACTTAGACTATGGTAA